GGGCTCGGAGCCGGGCTGCGGTCCGTGCCCGCGCGCCCTGCGGTGGCCATTCGGGCGTGTTCCTGGCTTCTGTTCATTTGTTCTGGGCCGTTCACTGGTCGTTAGAGTGACCTGACACCGCCGTTTAATCCCCGAGTGACGGCCTGCAGAGTTTCCCGTGCCCCCCGCCCCCTGTCTGGGCTTCAGTGGCTCAGGAAACGCCCTTTGGGAGGGGGAGGGGGCAGGGTTAACATTCTCTATAAATTAGGAATCGCAGCTCTGGAGAAATGTGCTTCCTCTGTTGCCGATCAGATTGGTTGAGAATCCTGCTGTAAAAAAAAAAATGCGCTTTGCTTTTTAGGCATCATGTAACAGATTCTAGGTCAAGTTGTGGACCACCGTGTAAAAAAAAAAAATCCTTTTGTGTAAATTGAATGGCCGAGTTTATCTTTGAGGTTTGTCCTTACGCCAGAATATTGCAAAACACAAGAACTCTTGTAAGAAAGTGGCCTCACTGGGAGTCGATGGAGGCCTGAGAGGTAGCAGCGGCCCCCAAATTAAAGCAGACACTCAGTCTGCAAATACAGGGAGCTGTTCGCTTGCTTAACGTTGGAGCCCTGGGCGCCCTTGACCTCACCGCAGCCCTGACCTGGGGGGACCTTGCCCCAGAGCACAGGCCTCCCAGGAAATTTGGTAGTTGGAAAAACTACATAGCTTGCAGTTAAGTACAATCTGCAAAGGACTGTCACTTCTTTTTGTATCTGCTGCTTTGGAAAATTCAAGTGTCAATTCATTTAATCTGCCTTCTCTTCCTCCAAGGAATTAGTAGTGATTTTTAAAAGCTGGATGGTTGATCACAGTAGTTATTGCACAGATTAAAACCTAGTCACTTTATGTTACTCAGAGTACCACAGAATCAGAGTGGGGTTTTTTTCTTCTATTTATAGTGTTGTAGCTATCACTGGAAGAAACCTCAGTTGCTCAGGATATAACCCAGTAGGTTAAAATTTTCAGTAAGATATTTGAGTTTTTATGTTTATTTGTTTGTTTATTTAAAAGTTGATTTTTAGAGAAAGAGAAACATCCTTTTCGAGGGAAACACTGATCATTCATTGGCTGCCTCCACACCCCCTACCAGGGATGGAGCTGGGCGATGCCCGACCAGCTGAGCCACACTAGCCTGGGTGATATTTGAGTTTTTAGAACTGTGATGATCCCAACTTCAAGTTAGATGAGGTCATTGGACAGAGATATTTACAAAATTATTGTGTCACCTTTCTTTGTTTTCACTTTGTCTCAGATGATCAGAAGATATAAATGAATTGATCAGCTAAGTTTTGTGCTATTTAAAAACACAGAATTTCACCAACTACTAAAGCTCTGCCTTTTCTGAGTCATGTATTTCCTTAAAAAAACTAATTACATATAAAATGATAATCTGTCATTCTTGGTTTTTGTATGTCTAAAATCAAGACTATCTTTGATTTTTTAAATGCAAATAGTCAAGTTTTCCCTTATTGCCAGCTTTCTCTGCCACTTCTGGAAAATCACTATATTTTTGGTTGGGAGTGTGAGCTGGTAACATGCCTTAATTTTGTTTAGGGACAACGGGATGGAAGGCTGCAGGAAAAGCCTTTGAAAAGAATGAAAATTGGCTAAGAGAGAAAAGAAAGAAGCAGGGTCATAAATATGTTTGTCTTCCAAGCTGTTTTACATCCCCTGCCTGGTTCATCTAAGTAGGTGATGTCACTTCGTAATTGATGTGGGAGGAGAGCCTGTTTGATTTTTAGGGCTATTTTTCTGTCCTGTCACATTGATAAACTAGTTTCTGATTAAGGAAAATAAAAGGAATAGAATGGGAAAGGTGAGAATGCTTTAACAGACTCCAGGGGAGAACCTGGAATTAGAGGCACAAAGACTGCTGAGCTTTGATGACACACTGGTGAAGTTTTCACATTTCCTTATGTCTTAATATAGTATTAGCCAGACAATGCTGGCTTTCTTTATAATGGTTGTATGTAAAGGAATTTTAAATGAGTTGATCCAGAAACTGAAAGATGACCAATCTCCTAGTTTTAATGCTACTAAGTAATACACTACGTATGTGACTCTTCTTTTCTAGATCGTTTGCATATCTTACAATTAAAGACAGAATACCACAGATCTTAACCAAGGCTATTGATACACTGCATCGACATAAAAGTGAATTTTTTGAGAAACATGGAGAGGTATGAAATGTATTTGAACTTTAATTATTTTCTTAAATCTAATAGAAACATAGTAAGCAGTTTCCCCACTGTGATAAAGTTCATTCCATTTGAAGATAACTAAAGACTTTAGTTATTAGATGAAATGAAAAGAAAAAAAAGGCAGGCTAGATAAGGCAGGATCATGTTGATCATAAGATCTGTGTGTGTGCTTTGATTTTCAACTTAACAGTTCTAAATTTAAATGTTTTATAATAGTTTGTGAAGACAGAAAATGTGGCTTTGTAATATAGTATTTTTTTCCTTCTTAAATGTAGGTCTGTAAAAATGTTCTACCCTAGAGGAATTATTCATTTATATAGACTTACATATAAAGTATATATAAAGTATATATATAATAAAATTTAATTATTTACACATAGATTATTCATATATTTTTTAATATATGTAAATGTTTTTTTATATTTCTTCAGGAAGGCACAGAAGCTGAAAAGAAAGCTATTTCTCTGCTTTCTAAATTGCGGAATGAATCACAAACAGATAAGCCAATTATCCCCTTGGTTGAGAAGTTTGCTGATACCGACATATGGAATCAGTACCTAGAATATCAACAGAGTCTTTTAAATGAAAGCGGTGGAAAACCAAGATGGTTCTACTCACCATGGCTGTTTGTAGAATGCTACATGTACCGTAGAATTCACGAAGCTGTTATCCAGAGGTAAGTATATAACCATCAAATAAATGTTAAGATAATTTATGCTTTTTTGAAATTATAAAATGATAAGTTTAAAAACCAGTGGAAATCTGAATTTAGTTCAGTAGCTATCAGTGGCACTCCTGGACATTCTGCAAATGTTAACACTATGATAGATTCTTGGCAATTATAATCCATTTGCCCAGACTAGACATAAGATTGAATATGTGAAGTAGGAACTAATTAAACATTTTTATAAAGATTTTTCTTCTAGAGTAAAACAGATTGTACTTATTGAGGGGAAAAATGTTAATTTGAAATATTTATTTATTTAAAAAAATCAAGACAGAACAAAGTAAGCATGTTTTATTTAAAAATAGATAATATGTCAATGAATTTGTATAAGGAATCAACAGCACAGTGAATCCCTGCATTACTTTATGCACTATCTTAATCTTGAGCCCCTCCCTTTTTTAATGGCTAGTTTAGAAAAAGATTCTGAAAGTTAAAATGTTCTTAATAACTTTTTATAAACTTTCCTATACTAATTTAATTTTTCCTAAAAAAATTCTGATATAGGACTGACTTATAGAGCAGAAGAAAATGTCATGTGGATCATTCTTTAGCTCACAGGTTACAAACATACAGGTTTGCTGATTGAGAGGAATTCTTTGGTATCCGTTCCTAGACATAGCATAGGATAACTTAAAGCAATCAATTGAACCAGCACTAAAAGTAAAATAAAAAAATAACTTTGGGAAACATGCATAAATATAGTCTATTCATTAGCTTTTTCTGTCATAATCTTTATAAATAATCATTTGTTGTTTTTGCTGAATAAGTATGTTTTAGGACTTCTGTTCTAAAAGCAAAACACACTTATATATTAAAAATTTAGTGCATTGCCTGGCACACAGAAGGCACCCAAACAAAAGGCTATAACTGACAAGAGATGCTGTCCTACATCTGTGTGCCAGTTACTTCGCAGGTCAGTGTAGCGTAGGTATTATTATGGTTTCCACTTTACAGTTGAGGAAACTGAGGCTCAGAGAGGTTAATAACTTGCCCAGGGTTACATGGCTAGTAAAATGGTAAACCCACTCTTTGAGCTTGGTCAGTGCAAATTAGATTAGAACCCTAATCAAACTATCTTTTTCTAAGTAGTACATTTTCATGTCTGTCAGGAACTAGGGTTAGTCTAAAATTCTGAGTGATGGTTTCGTAATTTTTAAACATATCTGTATTAGCCAAAGATGCTGAAAGTTTGAAAGACTGGGTAATGGAGTTTGGTTTAGTGGAATGTGGAAATTAGAAGGGCAAAGGGAATGCTGTCTCTGAATTTGATTTTAGAGGTGGATCAGGTTCAGAGAATTAACAAATCTAGGGCAGAAGTTCACAAACATGACTGCATATAACCCAGTTGGGGAGATTTTATTAATTAATTAATTTACATACAGAATTTGAAATCACTACATTAAAAGAAATACTGATGATTTAATTTGTTTGTGGAAGGGTCTGGGCATCAGTTTTTCTTTCCACACCTCAGAGATTCTGCACAGCCTGGATTGATGTCCACTGGGCGAGAACAGCTTGTTAAAATTTTGCTGAGTTCCAGGAATGAGACCAGTCAGCCAGGGCTGTGGAACCCTCCTCCGGGGATCTCCATGGCAGCTCTCTGAAGGTCTGGGGATTTGCATGGCAGGGTACCAGAACTCAGATTTTATGACCATGAAATGAGGAGCTGTCCCACAGCAGAAGTAGCCCAAAGTAGTTTTCAGATGTCTGATTTGTCAGGGTTCTTGTAGGAGGGATTTTTCTCCTAACAGCTCCAAAGTGACCAAAGAAGTTTTTTTTGTAGGGTCCCAGAGCACACATTAGCTTTACGACATGTTTATGCTGACTTTGCCTCTTATACAGAGACATATTTCTAATTTCCTCTGTCAAGGTGTATGTTGTGGTTTTCATTATAGTTAAATAGTTGAATTGTCTGCAAGTCTAAAGATTCAAAGTTGTAGCCATATGTGAAATTTAAATGTGTTAAGTAAATATACTTCATATAACTGCAAAATGAAAGTACAGAGAACATAGAAGACACTTTTAAGCTTTTATTAAAGTATAATATAAATGCAGAACAGCACACACATCTTACATGTCCAACATTCTTTACCAGCATGTGCTCTAGCCCCTAGCGTCCAGATCAAGATGCAAACACTTACTAGGACCCCAGGAGCTCCCCTTGGGTCCCTGTCCAGTCACTGTCCATCATGGCCCCTCATGGATAACCACTACCCTGATGTGTGCTAGTTTTGCCTGTTTTAAAATTTCATTTAAATGAAATTACATGGGATTTAGTTTGTGTCTGATTTCTTTCACTCAGCATTATGTTGGTGAGATTCATCTATATTGTTTGATATAATTGTAGATCATTTGTTTTCATTGCTATATAGTCCTGCAATATGAGTATGTCACACTATTTAGCTATTCTGTTGTTGACGGGTATTTGAGTAGTTTCTAGTTTGGGGTAATTATGAAGAGTGCTGCTATAAACATTGAAACACATGTTTTGATGAACATACGTGTGTATTTCTGCTGGGTATGTACCTAGGAGTGAGCCACCCGGTCATAGTGTATGCACATACACAGCTTTAATAGAGTCTAAGTTAGCAAACATTTAAAAATCAGAAATCATTCATAGTTAGGTGAGTTTACTCTCTTAAATTCAAGACATAAGACTCATTCTTAACACTAGGTGTGACTTAAAACTAATGAATGATTTGTTAATAAAACACTAGAACAAAGGTTGGCAAGTTTTTTCTGTGAAGGGCCATATAGTAATATTTCAGGCCATGGTCTGTGTTGAAGCTACTCAGCGCTGTCCTGCAGTGCAGAGCAGCCCCAGACTCCACATAAACAAATGAGCGTGGCTGTGTTCCAGTTAAACTTCATTCATGGACGCTGAAATTTTAATTTCGTGTATCACAACATATTCTTTCAAATATGTAAAACCATTCTTAGCTTGCAGGTCATACAGAACAGGTGGCGGGCCAGATGGGTCTGAAGGCTGTAGTTTGCTGACCCCAGCACTTGAGCCTATGCTTTTAAGTTGCCTCGAGGGACGGATTTATTCCAGCAGTGCTGCCATCGCTCACAGTGCCTTCGCATTCTTTGGAACTTCCTTCAGAGCCAGTGTACAGCCTCAGAAAGAACGTTAGTCTCATTATTTCTCAGTCGCTCCTCATTTTTGACCAAAAGTGTTTTACTCCATTTGATTTACACACCTCGTGCTACTGAAATGCTCTGAGTGACCTTTGGCTGTTTCCAAAAGGAAATTAACTCCAAAGGATGAAGATGTGCAGTGGCTGGCAGGACGTTTAATGACGTGCCGCAGGTTCTGAAGACAGTTCCTAGAGGGCCTTGAGCAGTGGCAGCATCCCTGCACTGAGGGTGCCCCCGGGGACTGGCTGCCGGAGGGGCAGCAGCGTTTGCATCTGTACCGTCTGGTATGTCTTTGTTTTTAATACGCCCCGTGAGCTCAGTCATGCTGTTTTCACCCTAAGCTGGAGGACTCGTGACCGAAGTGGCTAAGTTAGAAGATCAGCTGATCTGAATGTCTTTCATAGTTGATTCTGTAAAGGCTGTCCCGTTAGTATTTATACCTTCTTGGTTAGGTTTTTTGTGGGTCAGTATTAATATTATTTGATCTCTCATTGATAGCATGAAGCTGCAGTCATGGTCATAATCAACTTGGGAGGAGTAATTGCCAAAAAAATAAGTAAAAAACCTATACATAAATGATCAAAATTGGTCATTATAATAAAATTTACATTAGCAGTATCTGATTTATTTCAGGTAGTCATTGGGTTCCCATAATGCTTCTATGTTTGACTCTTAGTGATTACCACATTATATTCAGATATTCTGTTTTTATCCATAAGTTTGTTACTTGGGACCTGGCCACGTTGAGCACCCCCAAAAATGGTAAACTGAAGCAGTTGTCTTGAAATTAAAAAAAAAAAAAAAAGTTTTCTTGTATTGATTTCAGAGAGAGGAAGGGAGAGGGGGAGAGAGAAACATCAATGATGAGAGTCATCAATCAGCTGCCTCCTACCTCCTACACGCCCCCTACTGGGGATCGAGCCCCAAACCTGGGCATGTGCCCTGTCCAGAAATCGAACTGTGACCTCCAGGTTCATAGGTCGATGCACAACCACTGAGCCACACCGACCAGTCTCTTGAAATTTTATTTCTCTTCCTGCTTGTGCCCTGGAAACCCTATAGGGTACAGTCATGAATATGGTTACTAATTATTTAATACTTCTAGTAAAATATTTGATTAGGGAACTTTTTTTTTTGAATCTTCAGCTGAGGATATTTTTTCCATTGCTTTTAAGAGAGAGTGGAAGGGAGAGAAAGAGAAACATCATCGTGAGAGAGACACATTGATTGCCTCCCTCTCTCACCCCATGTGGGACAGAGCCTGCAACCGAGGTATGTGCCCTTGGTCAGAATCGAACCCAGGACCCTTCAGTCTGAGGGCCGATGCTCTAACCACTGACCAAACTGGACAGGACTGATTAGGGAACCTCTGACAGTTAATTAAACTAAGTTTGGGGGCCCTGTGTGGTTTTGCTCAGTGGTTAGGGCTTTGGCCTGCAGACTGAAGGGTCCCAGGTTCGATTCCAGCCAAGGGCATGTACCTTGGTTGCAGGCTTGACCCTGGCCCTGGTTGGGGTCTGTGCCGGAGGCAACCAATCAATGTGTGCGTCTCTCTTATATTGATGTTTCTCCCTCTTGCTCTCTCCCCCTTCCACTCTCTCTGAAAAGCAGTGGAAAAAATATCTCTGGGTGAGGATTTAAAAACAAACAAAACAAAAAAAATAAGTTTGGGGGATTTTGTGTGCTTTGATTGTTATTTTTGTGTAACTCGATCCATGTTATATCTAACGTCTATTACCAGTAGTTTTTGAGACTGAAGGCTACCATTCTCTTTTCTTTAAAGAATTGCAATTACCCAAATGTGTGGAAAAAGTACAGAGTTACATAAATGTTTTGCTTATGTTTTTCTCTTACTTTAGTCCACCAATCGATGACTTTGATGTGTTTAAAGAATCGAAAGAACAAAACTTCTTTGAGTCGCTGGAATTTATCGAGGCTTTATGTGTTCACCTGCAAGAGTTGATAATAACGATTGAAGACCTAGATGAAAGTCAGCTGAAAAATGAGTTTTTTAAACTTCTTCAGGTAAATGTGATAATTAATCTCCTGAGTATCTTTGTTGATTTAAACAGTTAAAAAACAGACTGGTACACATTTAACAACAAAGCATGTCTACACGTTGTCATTTTAGTTATCATTGATCATTTACCATTTTAGTAGTGGTGTCATTCAAGAGGTGAAGATCCATTTAATCTCAAAAATGCATTTTGAAATTTCTTCTACTCCACCTGGAGGTGGTTTTAGTGGCTTCCTAGCTTCTGTTATTTTTGAGAGAGGACTTCACAGTCATTTGGTTGGCCCAGCCTGACTTGGGCTTGAGTGCCGGCTTTGTTGCCTATTTGTGGTTGGACCTGAGCAAGTTACTTAATTTCTCTAAGCTTTAGTTTCCACATCTGTTAAGTGAGGATGGTATTGTGTACCTCATAATTTGATGTGAGAAACCGGATTCATTCGCGTGAGTGTAGCTCACAGCTGGAACACAGAACACGTTGTCTTCATCAGGTAGAAACAGCGTCCTGTTTAATATGGTCTCATTACATTTCTTCATTGAGCTTGTATAAGCTTAGTTTTAAATTCTCATTCAAAACATCTTCACATTTAAATTACTAGATTCTAAACTCTTTGAAAATGTGTTGTACACAGTAGTACCCCAGTCCTGACTTCCTAGGAAGAATTAGAAACATTTCCAGAAAGAGATGTTAGGAAATGTTAAGAGAAATAAAGCAGGGAAGGGGGCTGGGGAATGTTGGGGGAGGGAGGCAACATTAAGTAGGGCTGCCAGGGAAGAGCCTGCCAAGACGGTGACTTGGGGAAGACCTGAAGCTGCTGGAGAAGCAGGTCACAGGCATGCCTGGGGTGGAGCATTCCTGCTGAGGGCCTGAGGTCAGAGCCTGCTAGGCATGTGAGAACCCAGGAGGGGATTCTGTAGGAAATGAGAGAGGTAGAGGAGGGGCTAGAAGGGCCACAGAAGGCAAAGTAAGCAAAGGTAAGGACTTGGGTTTAATTCCTAAAATGAAATGGGAAGCTATTAGAGGGTTTGGATCAGGGAATTAACATTAAATGACTTATTTCAAGGGTTACTTCTGAAAACAGAACAAAGGGGCTCGGGGTAGAACTTGGGAGACCTGTCATTAAAATGACTCAGGTGAGGGATGACTGGACCAAGTTGGTAGCATAAGAGGTGTTAAAAATCTCAAGATTCTGGATATACTTTGAAAGTAGAGGCTCCAGACAGGTTGTGAGACGTGGCAAAAGTCCTGATGGAACTTAGGGCAAGCAGAGTGAGCTAAGTGATTAAGAGGGAAGAGCTTATTTTGAATTTGGAAGAAAAGGTGTCAGGGTATTGTTAACTAAAAAATCCAGTTATTTTTTCCCTTCTGAACTATTATTTATGCTTAGCTTAGAATAAAGAAAAGAAAAGCAGCATGTTACTCGTTACCCATGGTGTGCCCATTCTTTCAGTCTGTGCATATAACATGTTCCTTGTCCTGTAAGTATAAGGTGTTGTGAGGAGGAGCACCAGCCTACTTTCTGTCACCTACTTCGGCCAGCTACCCCAGGTTGCTGTTCCGCTCTCCAGTAAAGGAGGCCAAAATTGCCCCCTGGCAGTGTTCATGGTGACCAGCAGGTTAACCTCCTACAAAGAGCTCCAGGCTGTTTCAGTTTGTGGGACTATTGATCTGTTCCTAAAACCATAAAACTCTCCCCCATCCTTACAAACAGTTCGTAATCTGCTCTGTCAAACACTATTCCTGATGCCAGACGTGATGGTGAGAAAAACAGACCGGTCCTTGCTGTCATAGAACTTGTAGTCTTGAGGGACTATAGATAATTAATTAAGGACACAAATCAATATAGACTTGATTACAGACTGGAAATATGCAGGCGGCCAACAGAGACCCCGACCTCTGCTGGGGAGGGCCGCCGTCCACACCAGCAGATGCTTCTTTATCAGACTTGGACTTGCACTTCAAAAAAAATTCATTTAATCCTTCTTTTAAAAATAATATTTTTGGCTGGTACATGCATTTCCCTCTTATTTTGAATCATGTAAGAAGAGTCTGTTTTGGCTAATATTTACTGAGTACTTCTGTATGCCGTCTATTGGATACATTACTTACACCCGTTATGTCAATTCTTACAATGACTCTATGAGGTAAGTACTATTATTATCTCACTTTTCAGTTGCATAACGTGAACCTTAGAGATCATGTAATGTACCAATGGTCTTTAATTGGAAATGCAGGAATTTGAACCCAGGTCTGTCTGATTCCAGAGCCTGCACTCCTAAACATGTACTTTCAGTTATAGCTTTAAAAAAATAGGGTTATATGCCATTTCGTACAAAATAAGCTTGAGTATTGTTTCAATTTATAGTAGAATAGGAGATTATTAGAGTTGGAAGGGTCTTTAGACATCACCTTGTCCAATTTCTTTATTTTACAAGTGAGAGAAATCCCAGAGAAATTGGGATTTACTAAAAGAAATTGAGCAGTTTTTTGGGGGCCTGGGGGCTGGGAGGCACTTTTATTTTTCTCTTGTCACTGAATTATAAAGTAAACTTTGTAGCTTCTTTTTACAGCATCGGATCATGTGCTTTTATCTGCAAGATGAAAAACTCATTCTGATTAAGTGATATGGTCGTTAAAATCAAACCAATTTTTTAAAGTTCACTACATACTGACCAGTTAAAAATTTCATTGTTTTCCCTTTAAAAAAATGTTTTTCTATTGATTTTACAGAGAAAGGAAGGGAAAGGGAGAGAGAAAAACATCAATGTGAGAGAGAAACATTAATCAGCTGCCTCCCACAGGCCCCGCACTGGGGATCGAGCCCGAGGCCCAGGCATGTGCCCTGACCTGCAATCGAATCTGTGACCTTTTGGTTTATGGGACAGCGCTCAAGCACTGTGCCACACGGGCCATGGCTGTTTTGCCTTTTTAATACAACATCATGTAAACATAGTCTTTGCATTATTAGACAAAGTGGATTTGATGGGCATTTTATATTAAGAGTTATGTAGAAATGAACTTCATGAATACTTCTACAACCCTTCCCCCCACATATTACATGTTAGCGTTTGTTTGTATTCAAAAGAAGGTAAATGTTTGCACCTTTTTTTCAGATTTCACTGTGGGGAAATAAGTGCGATCTGTCTCTATCAGGTGGGGAAACCAGTTCCCAGAAGACCAATATAATACATTCTTTGGAAGACCTAAAGCCTTTCATTTTAGTGAACGACATGGAACGTCTTTGGTCACTGCTTAGCAATCTCAAGAAAACAAGAGAAAAAGTATCTACTATTAGAGTGGATATTGTTCTGGATAATTCTGGGTTTGAACTTGTTACAGATTTAACATTAGCAGACTTCTTGTTGTCTTCTAAACTGGCTACTGAGATCCATTTTTATGGAAAAATGATTCCATGGTTTGTTTCTGATACTACTATACATGATTTTAACTGGTTAATTGAACAAGTAAAACATTCTAATCATAAGTTAGTATCCAAGTGTGGGAATGACTGGGAAAACTATGTTAAAATGGGCAGATGGGTTTACCACGATCATATATTTTGGACACTGCCTCATGAATTCCATGCAATGTCTCAGGTTGCTCCTGACTTATATGCTGAACTACAAAAGGCACATTTAATTTTATTCAAGGGTGATTTGAATTACAGGAAGTTGACAGGTGACAGGAAGTGGGAGTTTACCGTTCCATTCCACCAGGCTTTGAATGGCTTCCATCCTGCCCCTCTCTGCAGCATACGAACATTAAAAGCTGAGGTTCAGGTTGGTCTGCAGCCTGGGCAAGGTGAACAGCTCACAGCTTCTGAGCCCAACTGGCTGACCACTGGGAAATATGGAGTATTTCAGTTTGATAGTCCACTTTGACTTGGGCTAGGAACTCTGAGTTTGGAGAAAGATCTGACAGGCACATTTCATCCTTAGAAAAGCAGTGTGTGAATTTAGTTCTTGACTGCTTTGTGTTAGCTCTGAGAAGCTTGGCTTCTCGGTGCTCAGTTACATACTCTGGATGCCTTTTCCTTTGAACATTTTGCCCCATCCATTGTTTTGGGGAGAGATGGGTTAAGCTAGTTACAGGTATTTACATTTATGTTGGAATCTTAGTAACTTATTTCAGGTTAAATGCATACTTCAAGTGGTTTTCATGAGCCTATTTTTAATTGGGCAGAAAGCAAAATATAAGTGAATAAGTTAACTTTTTTTTACTTTTATGCTGCATGGTATTTAATATCCTGGGAAGCATGGAATTTTATTTAACTTGATTTGGGGCTCTAGAAATGAGGGCTCTGTGAAAATACACATCTTAAATGTGCTTTGTAAAGAGGCATTTCTCACAACTGTGATATTTGAGCACATGAAAGTAAAGCTTACCTCATAAGTTAATTATAATTTTGTTCTTAAATTTTATTTCATTTCAGTAGCCTGTTTTATTTGCCTGCATTTGCATTTTGATTGGAATGGATGGTAGAGGCCACAAAATTGAGCAAAATGAAATAAATGGTATTTGAAGAAAAATGTAATACCTTTTACATTCTATTTATGATCAACTGAAATGTATTTTAACACGTTTTAAATGAACATTTTAGATTGCTCGGCAGTTTTAAAAAATGCTTTAGATAGAAAAGATTCTTGTGCATTGAATTGGGAGTACTACCAATGAGTTGATTCATTTTTTTATATTCTCACACATTTATTGGTGATTGCCAGATATTAAAAACAATAAGTTTCAGGTCAGTTTGTTTTGAAACTGAAATTGGAAATAAACCTGGAAATGTTTTCTTGTGCATGAATAATAAAATGAATTGTTCTGAGAGTCAAATTGGTTTTATTTCCCAGTGGGGGAAAGTTAAGAAGGGAAGATTTAAGATGAGTTGTATATAATGAAGAAACTCATAATGTGTATTATAGATGTTGTCAAAGCAGTTCTTAAAGTATATCATTAAATGAAGTTACAGTGTTGCCTTTATGTGTTTAACATTTGTTTGTAGAATGTTTGTATAAAGCTGCACATTGAGTTGACTCCTTATCTACACGTGTTCCTGCTGTAAACATTAAGTTACTCAAATATCGAGAGTATTATAATTATTGTAGACACTTGACATAAGTTAGAGCACAGTGGTAGTGTTGATGTCATAGCTACGGTGTGAGCTGTAGTATAATATGTTACATTTTCCAAAGCACTGGATTTTTTCTGTTTTTATCATGTTTTATCAAGAACATGAACTTAGGATGTCTGAGGAAATAGTTCACCCCTCCTAAAAGAGAGAGAGCGAGGAAGCAAGAAAGGCACCCCGTGGAGGAGGAAGTCAAGGTGGCATCTAAGAAAATGCTTAGCAGGAGGGAGGGCCTCCTGTAGTTTCACCAGTTGACTTTTTTAAGCCAACCTTTCTTGAGATATGAGTCACATACAATTCATAGACTTTAAGAATACAGCATTTTAGTATATTCACAGGGTTGTGCATCCATTACCAAAACCTAATTTCAGAACATTTACATCACCCCTGAAAAAAACCGTGTACCTATTGATAGTCATTCCCCATCCCCCTCTCAGCACTTGGCTGAGAAAGTAATCTACTTGCTGCTCTGCCTCTGGATTTTCCTATTTGGACATTTCATATGTGAATCATAAAATATTTGGTCTTTTGTGACTGGCTTCTTTTCAAAGTTCATCAGTTGAAGTATGCATCAGTACTACATTCTTTTTTGTTGCCGCATAATATTCCATTGTATGGATATACCACATGTGGATGTATTGTATTTATCCATTCATCAGTGAATGGACATTTGAGTCATTTTCGGCTTTTGGATGAATAATGCTGTTAGGACCATTAATGTACAAGTTTTTTGTGTGTTTTTTTAGTACATTTTTCAGTTATCTTGAGAATATACCTAGGAGTGAAAGCTGTGTTTAATGCTTTGAGGAAATGCCGAACTTCAAAAGTGCAACATTTTACATTCCCACCAGCCATGTATGAGGGCTCCGATTTTTCCACACCCTTGTCAATGCTTGTTACTGTCCATTTATTTTAGCCATGCCACTAATGAGTAACGACGTGCACACTTTCATGTGTTTATTGGCCATTTGTATGTCTTTTTTTGAGAAATGCCTTTAATTCCTTTGCCTATTTAAAGTTACATTATCTTTTTTATTGATTTTTAAGGGTTTACTGCATACAAGTCTGATCAGATATAATTTGCAAATGTTTTCTCCCATTCTGTAATTTGTCTCTTCACATTCTTGATGTGATTTAGATTTTGATGTTTTCTTTATGTTTTTTTGTTGTTGCAAAACATTGATTTTTGAACTGCTTCTTAATATCCCTAAGAGCCACTGAAGTGAGGAACCGAGGCACCCAATGGACAGGGCTCTGCCTACAGCCATCTCCCACCCCCCCCACTTGTTTCCATTCCAGCAAATTTGGCCTGTGTATGTCTCACATAGGTACAGAGTAGCATGGTGGGGAAAGCTGAGGCTCTGGAGTTAGCCAGGGGTGGGTTCTCCATTGAAGAGCTGAGTGATCTTGGGATCTTTCCCAAAACAGCATCTGAAGTTGTTTAAACTGCTGATACCATACTTGGTTAAGTATGAAGTAATTTCTGGATAAAGCAGCTCATAAATTTCATGCAATACATTTTTATCATGACACAGATTCAGTTATCTTAGGTATGTTATGATGGAAATGTGGATGAAGGGCAGGTAAATAATTAAATGGAGGATTGTGGTTTATGCTGCTTTTTGATCCAACAGCAGATGGACAAAATTTGTAGGGATAATTCGGCTTAAAAAAAAATAAATTGAGGCAGTATTTTGTGTTGGATAAAATGCAATAATGCTTTTGAACCTTTATAAAACCAAAACCTGTGCTCAACCTCAGGTCGTTTCTATAAAAGAAATAACCTTCGCAAAAGGCAATTTCAACATAGCTCAAACCCTTTACTTACATTTTCTGAAATTCCTAGAGTGGATTGAAAACACAATTCAGAATTAGAATAATTAAAATTCCCTGTCCCACCCATTTTCCTGTCAGCTCTCTCTGCCCTGACCCCACTGAGCCTTGTTCTGCCCCCGCAGAGCGTTTCTTTTGTCTCGACTCTCTCCCCCTGTGCTGGACGGGGGTGAGGGTCAGGGAGGCCGAATGCTTGGACGCGTGCTTGTCTTATTACCTAGGTAAAGTGCTGCTGTCCTGTCTGACACAGTAAGCAGTAAGGGACATCTTGAAATTGTAGAGAATGAATAAAACAATGTAGAGAATGTAGAGAGAAAAAAAAAACAAACGGAAAATGAACATAATCCTGCCACCTGCAAATGCCCCTGTTAAAATTTCGATACATGTATTTCTAAGTTCTCCATGCATACACATATTTTTTACATTTCTAAGAAAAAAAGCAGGATCATACTGTTGAAAATTTTGTTTTTAATTCTGAAGTATGTTTTCAACTCCTAAAGTTTTTGTCTAGTCGGTTTCTGTTTTCGTTGTCATTTTAATTTTGTAATTTTTTTTCTGGTTTACTAATTAGCTCCTGCTGGAGGGCTAGAAGTGGCTTTTTTTTTTTTTCCCCCTTGGATAGCAGTGTGACCTGGGACTCAGTAATGGTCATAAATCCCTGGTTTCCTGTTAACTGTGTGACCTAAGGCACATTCTCACAATTTTACTGGAAAAGAAGTTATTTCTGGTCAAAGTGAACTGCATTCAGCCTCAGACCAGGGTTTCTCTAGGGAGCGAGGGGAGCTGAGCGCAGCAGCGTTCTGGCATCCTCTAGTGGCCACCTGCGAGTGTCACCCCATCTTCCCCTGGTGAGCTCCAGGCAGGAGGCCTGCTCCAGCGCAGCAGCCGGCGGCACTGAGCCCCCCCCAGAGGCCGCCACTCCCTGGCCGCCTGCCTCCCGCTCTTCGGTGGCTCACATTGCCCCCTGTCAGTTCATTTACTATTCACCCCACTTTCAGATCTTTTAGGAAGTCCGAGGGAAAATCGGTTCTTACAGAAGCCGTTTCTAAAGTGTTGATCCCCGTTAGTCATACATTTGGGGGGCCAGCCACCGACTGTGTCTTCGTGTATTTGCCCCACACGTCATATTGACCGCAGGGGTGCTCAGTGGAGGACTGATAGGTGACGGCTTCCAGCATCTGGAGTAACTTGAACCTCCGAGGTGCTGCTGCTGAACCGAGCCGGGAAGATGAAGCGGGTCAGCCAGAAGGCCTGCCGGCTGGCCCGTTAGCACCGGGTGAGTGACAGATGCATGTCGTAACCGGGCGTTTTCAGTAAAGGCGCGCACCTTTCAATACTGCTTTATTCCTTCAACACTGAGATCAGCTCTCCACTTGTTAGGCATTGTTCAAAAATGTGATTTTAAAAATGGTCATATTTTCTTTTGCTAGGTAGTGTTCAAAATTGTTGCTGATATAGAAGAAGCTGAAATGAGCATCTTCAGGCAGCTTGGTGCCCATTAAGATCTGCAGGTCTTCGGTGACTGTGAACTATTCGAAGCCACTCAATCACTCTAGTGCTCCTGGAAAGTGTTTGTATTAGGCTCATAGCCCCGAACTCTCAATATTGAGGAATTGCTTTACATAAGAAGGGACATTGCTTTTCTCCTTACTTAAAAAATTCATACTGGAGACCATGCTGATGACGTTCAGTCCTGCTTGAGTTCAATACGAAGTTTAGGCACAAGGGGGAGATCCTTTAGCGTAATAAAGCGGCTAGATTTTTCTTCTGTGCTATTTAGTACAGAGATTTCAGCAAGAAAAGCTGGCCGAGTATAATTTTCATTGTTGACTGCACGCATTCCTGTGGCTTTGACTGTAAAATCATTACACTGGAGTGAGGGTTCTGGCATCTACCATGGCGACACGGGTCCAGGACAATAAAACTGTGTTCTCATTCCTTTCTTGGCTGAACTTCCATGTATGCGTATAACACAACAAAATATTACAGTGGTTTATCATAGAAGTACATCAAAATACAGGAGTCTGAAAGCAAAATTAGAATGCAGGAAAAGTGGGGGGGGAAATAGTGTTTTAACAACATAGAGAAGTCACACAAGAAGAATCTTTGCAAGAAAATAAAAATGATTTCTTTCCATTTGCTCAACCTTTGCTTGAAGGAAAGGAGCAATACTATATTTGTTTCCTTATTTTGTAAATTTTAATACAGCAAATTAATTTTCACCATGATTGAAAATATGTAAAGGAACGAATACCCCAATTCTGTCTTACATTTAAGATACAAGTTGAACTTGGTGTGTCTCCAACACAGAGATTCTCCTGGTGACCAAGGCAGTCAGCAGATAGAATCCAGGTGGTCTGCAAACTTGCTGGGGAAAAAGTCATGTTTATTTTATGAGTATAGAATTGCAATTTAGCATGTCCTTCAGTTTTTAATATGGGCCATGAACCTCAGCAGTATTAACTGTGCCTGGACCTTCAGCACCTGTAGAAACCACAGGTGTTTCTTTAATTCTCACCCGAGGATATTTTTCCATTGCTTTTCAGAGAGTGTGGAAGGGAGGGAGGGAGGGAGAGACACATCGATTGGCTGCCTCCCGCACGTGCCCCGACCCAGGCCGGGGATCAAACCTGCAACCCAGGTATGTGTCCTTGACCGGGAATCAAACCCGGGACCCTTTGGTCCTCGGGCCGAAGCTCTATCCACTGAGCCACACTGGCCAGGGCCGCAGATCTTTTCATACTGTGTAACAATTGTACAAGCTATCTTGAAATGCTGTTCTATCACTGTGTCAAAAATTTAGATGCCTTTTTTGGAAGTTTGTGGCACAAAAGCTGGTTAAGAACCCTGCTCTTCTTTTTCCCCT